CGTATGCCCTGCCATTCAAACAAGATGTATCCTGAAGGGGTTTGGACGGCAGGGAGGGAGCCTTAAGAAAAGATGTCTCCACCATAGAGATAGCAGGCCAGTGTCTCTTCAACAGGGGGCATCTTTCCATCACCATTCTCACGCATCCCCTCGATGTTGACATAACTAGTATGCTGGAATCTGTGGATACGGGATGAGAATGGATTTTTCCAAGCCTTCTCGATCTCCACACGAAGATCGGGAATGAATGGAAGGCTCACCTGAGCTGGAGGGTTATGGCTAGAAAGAAAACGCTCATCGAGGCAGCCTCGATGCATCACTTTCTTTGCCCGCTTCCACAGCAAGCCAAGCCTCGACGTGGCACGATCCATAACCTCAAGCAGCTCATCATACGCGGGGCAGGAGGGGTTAACTTCAAGCCGGGGTGCAGTATAATGTGGTTATCTGAGAAGGACACAATATAAATCATCTGTCCAACAACTGCAAACAGATCCACACTATACACTTCCTATAAACAAAAGGAAATTACTGATAGGGAGAAATTTCCCGTCAGGTCCTTTCCATGTTCTCACCGCGACCGCAACGCGCAACATGCATTCAGCTCCCGCCCAAACGCTAGATTACCTAGAACGGAACGCTAGATTACCTAGAACAGAAACCGCTGCCGCGAATGCGTCGCTATTCCCTCGAGAGGCGAATGCACTCATGCAAATGCTATCTACCAACTCGGGTAAATGGTGAAGTACTCACCTCCCCTTCAGTTGTCCTGCAAAAGCATCACGATGAGCACAAGCCGTCTCCTCGTGAGACGAGTGCGTTCAATTCATGCTTATCCCTCACAAGAAATAAGCAATGAATGCAAAGCGCATCCAACTCCCTCGAGAGCTGAACGTGCTTGCTCTTCACCACAACACACACACAGCACACGAGCCGTGTGAAACTGCAAATATCAGAGCAAAGCCTCTGGCGAGAGAACATGCACTCCTAGTCGTGTTTAGCTTAACACTAACATAAAAAAAATGGTCAGTGAAGACGAAGAAGAGGATGACGTGTTATCCCGGCGCCCTTTTATACTATGATCGCACAGGGTAATGACGCCATAGGCTGTCGCCGGCCAATGTTATTGTCGTTTTTAGATGTACGCTTTAGACACCGGTCACACTGAAGGCGTTCCCCATAGCGACCTCTAGAGGACGCAGTTCGAAGTTCCCTCGGAAGGGAACTTTTTATTTCAGATAAATGCTGATCTTTGGATCTTTCTATTCATCAAAGAATCCTGAAAAAAATGTATTCAACTGTTTTAAAAATTGATAATAATAATAATTAAAAAAGGTTCCTTGAGCAGCAAATCAGCATAAAAGAATGATCACACTCAGCTTTGATCACAGCAATAAATTACATTTTAAAATATATTGAAATACAAAACCGTTATTTTAAATAGTAAAACAATATTTCACAACATTACTGCTTTTGCTGTACTTTGGATCAAATAAATGCAGGCTTGGTGAACAAAAGAGACTTCTTTAAAAATATTAAAAATCTTAGGTTATATATTAGAAATGTTATATTGTAATGTTATTATATATATATATATATATACTGTATATATATTACATTTCTGTCTCCCTCACTTCTGAAATGATGGCTATGCCCCTGATTTTTGTTAATGGATAATCTGCCCTTGTAATAACAGTTTGTGCAAAAAGGAATAAAACACGTGATTATTTAAGCTGGAAAATGATGCATGTCAAGTTAGTACGTGAAGAGGTTTTTTTTACAAAACATAAAACACAAAAAACTACAAATGTTTAATTTCAAGTTCTACAGCTTCTTACAGTGATATACTAAAACATATTTCAGATGACAGACACCATAAAGTGATTTTGTAGGGTTTTTAATCAGGCACTGAATGAGCACTCATTTAAAATTCTTTTAGCCAGTGGAATTGTTTTAGGTTCCTATAGGCAGACTCAATAGCTGTGTCTCATTTAGAAGGCTGCGCCCTCCGGAGGTCGAATCCTCTGGAGGTCGCATCCTCTGTAGGATGCACATACGAAGTGTCCTCAACCTAGAATTAAACAAGACGGCCTTCGTAGGACAGGCGGAAAAGGAAACCGGAAGTATCACGTTGCTATGCCAACACATTTAGAGCATCGTTGCGCTCTCACACTACTTAAATGAAGGACAATTTTTTCTAAATTTGGAAAGTAATTAAAAAAAAATATATATTTTACTTGTTTTATTTTGTTCAATGTTTGAGGAGCTGCAGCGTACATACAGCAGACATCTGTTAGAGAAAAAAAAGGAGGAATCCGTAAAATGGAAACTGATCTCTAAAGGCGCGTCTAATGAGGAGATGGCGAGTCAGGATCGGCAACTTCATCCTTGAATTTAAGGTAAGTTGTAAACATCACATCTGCGCTTGTGTGTACATCTGCCGGCGCCGGACATTTTTCAAATTAACAACGGTTGTTTACTGCTACGCAAAGAATTGTGGGTTATCTGTAGCAGCGAAGGATACACCTCATGCATCCTCCGAATTCCTGTGAAAGAAGGTCGCATTCGGAGTGTCCTACTTGCTTTTCTGAAATGAGACAGCCTCGATGACGTATGCAGCCTTCGAATGCGACCTCTGGAGGGCGCAGCCTTCTAAATGAGACACAGCTAATGAGTGACCTGAACTGGTAGGTTTGCAATAAATTACCTTTCAGCTTGTAACAAATAAAAAAAAATAGTTTGGGGAAGTAACAACTGTGATGGGAAGTAGGATTTGGCAGGCACTGTGTTAGATTCTCTGAGTCTGAGTGAGAAGTGATGGAGTGAAAGCTGAAAAGCTTGTTAAAGTAGAGAGGTCTGGAACAAATGGCTGAGTCAGGGTAACCTTGGCATCCAGCGCAGAGCTTTGAAATATTACTAAGTCCTGAATGCTACATAACAGAACAGCTCTAAGCGGTACATACATTACCAGAGGGGCATACCGGTCCCGCTTAACAAGAAAATATTGATTGAGCTTACGAAAAGAGAGGGACAATGAAAATCTTTCTCTTTCGAAAATCTCCTTTTTGGCTCTACAAGGTGCTATGAGATTTTGCACGCAGCAAGCCTGAATGCCATAAAATGCTTTACACTTAGACAGTGTTTCTGATTGGCTAAAGAGTGGCTTTTTTGCCATTTACGGAGTTTAGGGCGGCCACATATACATTATGATTTCTCAGGACACCTATTTCAGTGATATCTGTTTATGCAAGGCCTTTTTAAAAAGGGCTAAAAAGAGGCAATACAACTTGCCTAGCATATTTAAATGCTAGGCTAAGCAGACCTAAACTTTATGAGTACTGAAGGTCAAAGAGGCTGGCTCACTTATCTTTCTTCTTCTCATTTTTGCTCTTCTGAGAATAAAACTGTCTATTTAAAAAAATGGCATCAGTAGCAGATACTCATTTTAATGAACTATCCTCACATTTTCTCCAAATCACTCTTGGTGCAGTTGCTTCTCTCTGTCTCCTCTTATTTAGTAACCGGTTTATACTGTTCAAGAGATTTTGCTATCCTGTGGTTTGTACCAAAAGCACATTATTAAACAGTAGATTAGATTTTCAGGCTGACTGCACTTGAAGCTTTGGGCAGTACAGAGCTTTAACAGCAGCGTGGTAGCCTGCTGGCTGCATTGCGTACTTTGGGTAGAAGTAAGAAGTCTGGTTATTCAGAATTATTACCGTGATGGCACCCCGGGGACTGCACTTAATCGTAACCCTGTTATCACGAATACATCTTTCAGAGAACTTAGACCTCAGATGGATGTGCCTGCAGGACACCAACCCTTTTAGTCTGACACACTTGTTCTTTTGTACATGGCTTTTGATGCAGTATTGTGATCGCTAACTTCTCAGCACTTTCCAAAGAGTTTCCCAAAGTGCTTTGGGGAAGGTCAAGAAAATTCATTTGAGAGGAAACTTGTATGAATGACTAAACCAACCAAAGTCTACTAAAGTCTTCAAAATGTACCCCAAACTAATTTAATGCACTATACCGTTCAAAAGTTTGGGGTCAGCACAATTTTTTGTTCAATAATACTTGTATTTAGGAGGAATACATTAAATTGATCAAAGGTGATACTGAAGACACTGAATTAATAATAATACAAAAGATTTCTATTTCTAAAAGCAGTATAGAATTAGAATGACTTCTGAAGGGTCATGCAACTGGAGAAATGAAACATTCTTTGCCATCACAGGAATAACAATTTTAAAATACACTGAAAATAGAAAAGAGTTATTTTAAATTGTAATAATATTTCACAATATTACGGTTTTACTGTATTTTTTTGATCAAATAATTGCAGCATTGGTGAGCATAAAAGACTTTGAAAAACATTAAAAAATCTTACCACCCTAGTGAAAAATAAATATACTAAAATGTATTTGAAATACATTTATTTCATGCTAAGTATACTACAGATACGTTTACATATTTATGTACTTAATAAAAATATCCTGCAATTGTACTTTTGGTATATTAAACTAAATATTTTAAACTTTAAATATTTTTGGTATATTAAGTCTGCTAAATTGGAACAACTAATTTTGTACTTAATCCACTTCAATTGTGTGGAAGTGGTGCTGAAGTCCAACTAAAGATATACTGAAGTATATGTTATTGTGCTAAAGTGGAACTACTGCAAGTATACATCAGGTACACTTTAAATATCTTGCATTTAAAGACCAAAATTATTCAAAGATTATACATTACTCATCAATAGTGGCATTAATCACATTTTAGGCTTAATAATATGAAATACACATTGTACACAAGTAGCCTAGTACTCCTGATAAAGTTGAATTATAATTTTTTTCAGTAAGTCTCAAGTGATATGTCAGTAAATATGTTAATATATTTGAACTATACTTAGTATGAAAGAAATGTACTTTAAATATATTACCTTTTTACTAAGGCAACCCCAACATTTTTAAACTTACCCTCATTTTAATAACCAAACTTACCCTCCATCGGTGTGTTGCTATCAGGCCGGTTGGCGAAGACCACATCTACATATTCCAGCTGCATCCTCTGCAAGGAGCCCTTAAGACCTGAAAGACCAGATGTATAGTGTGAGTCAGTCTGGGTATTTGTTTGTCTTCCCTTTCAAAAAAGAAATCTGTTAGTGTTTATCCTCCAATGTAGCATTATTAGTTATACAAGAGGGAAAGGTTAGTGCTAATTAAAAAGTGGCATGCTCTGACAGACAAGAGTTTGTTGAGGACTCTTCATATCATGAAGAATGTCAAGCCCTCATAACATCAGGACAAACTTTCCCCACTTAATCAAGCTCCGCAGACGAGGGACACCCAGCTGCGTGAGTCTGGTGGACTGTGTAGTAATCAAGTGTGTCCTGAACAGGGCCCCAGGGCTCGTTCATTCTTTGTGTCTCTGTCTTTAATTCGGCAGAGTGCTGGACTGATCGTCAAGCGTAATGAAGAGTGTTTGGGACTGGATTCCCTCCTGTGTCCACCTCTAGAGGTTCACTCTGACAGGGTCAGCATCTTGAGGTCAGATGAGGCTTTACAGTCAAGAAATGATGGTGGTTGTCAGCAGTTTGAGACATAGTGAGCCAAAGAGAGATATGCGATTGATCAATTATATAGTGCAAAGTAACACAACAATGTCAGCATAACTGACAACATCCTATCTTTCCCATGATACCCCAGTGTAGAATAATTCTGTTTATTTCAGCACAACTAAGCTATTGCTCTATGCCCTCTTTCTCAAAATGTGCATGTGTGACTGGTTAGATCAATTTAAGAAAAATAAATCTACAATATCATTCAGAAGATTGGGGTCTGTTGGGTTTTTTATGTTTATGAAGGTCTCTTATGCATACCAGGGCTGAATTTATATGATGAAAATACAGTAAAACTGTAAAAATATTGATGAAATATTATACTTTTTTCTATTTTAATATATTTGTAAAAATGTAATTTATTCCTATAATGGCAAAGCTTTTTTTTTTTCAGCAGCCATTACTCCAGTTTTAATGTCACATGATCCTTCAGAAATCATTATAATATGCTGAATTGGTGCTCAAGATATATTTTTGGTCAATGCTGCTTTAATTTTTTTTTGGAAACCGCAATACTTTTTTCCAGTATTATTTGATGAATATAAAGTTTAAACAGTATTTACCTGAAAAACAAATCTTTAGAAATCTTTTTCTTTAAATTAATCCTTAAAGAAATAAAGTATTAATACCTTTAAAATATATGTCTTTATGCCCCCAAACTTTTGAACTGTAGTTTAAATGCACAAAGCAACTACTTTTTACATTTGCATCAAAGACAAATAATAGTATCCAAGATAAAGAGTTGGAAAAAAAAATCTTTAAAACATTTTGTTTAAGTTGTTGAACTCAGGTACCGTACATATGGTACATATGGTTTTGAAAACTATTTTTGACAAAAGTATAAATTTATAAATGACTCTAAAAATGTCATACGGTGTGAACATCATGTAAAAATAACATTTTCCTCACACCTTGAAAACGTGTACAAATCTTAATCATTATCAATAAAAAAGGTGTTAAATATATTTTTCAAGGTAGAAGTTTTTTAACATGTTTTAGCCTACTTAATATCAAATTATACATACTCATCTTCATCACAGAAGAAGTCAGTATATGTATGAACTGCATTTTTTAGTGTATTTTTCAATAACTTAACAGTCATCCTCTGACATAAGTTCACATGGTTGTGGGGAAGGGCTGTCATTTAATTTCACAGGGCCACACACACAAGATCTGTATATTTATACAATATTTAACAATATCTATATATACTGAGAGACAGACTGTGTGTCTAAACCTACATTATGTGCCAAAAATGTGCCTCAAATTCCCAGTCCATCCTTATCTGCATGGATATGTGTGTCTGCTTTGCAGCCTGACCAGACCAATGACTGAATCAAATCCAGTGATGTAAATATAATACGGCTGGCTTGTTCACAGACATGCTCCAAATGCAGGGAGCTGCAGGTGGGCGAGAGCCATCTGTATCCTGAGCTCTATGTTTGTAAAATAGGTGTCTGGCCCCAAACTTGCTGGCATGGAAGAAAAATAAAGACCAGTGTGGAACGGCACACACAACCAATCATTCATCCTCCCTGCAACCCTGAATATCTAGGCCAGGGGTGGGAATTATTTCCGTACTTTCACACCAAATGTAACTCTGACCCTACTGAGAGCATCTACTGTATGCATTAAAACTAGGGCTGCACGATAAATCGCATGCGATATTTAATGCGCATCTTGTCAGAAAGCCGGTTCTGTAATCAGCGGTAAATCTCCATCACGTGCGTGCTTTCACATTGAGCAGCATTAACTACACAGAGCCGTTGTTCACTGACGAGGTGCGCAAAAAATCGCGCGATAACTAGTTTTTCAAGCAAGCAGTTCACCCACAAATAAAAGGGTCTCATTATTTACTTAAAGGGATAGTTCACCCCAAAATGAAAATGTTGTCATTAATTTCTAACCCTCATATCGTTCCAAACCTGTCAGAACTTCGTTCATCTTCGGAACATTTTTTTAATGCATTCCGAGAGCTCTCTCATCACTGAGAGGGCATCACTGAATTCAATGATGAACTGCCTTTAACTGAAAATTGAGTGTTTACTATTGTCCTTTTGCATTATTGACACACTATTTTCCTATTTAATACTGTAAAGCTGCTTTGACACAATCTGCATTTTTAAAATAGCTACATAAATAAAGGTGACTTGAGTTGACTTGACTCTCTGACCTTCGCATAGACAGCAAGGATCCTAACACGATCAAGGTCCAGAAACGTAGTAAGGACATTGTTAAAATAATCCATGTGACATCAGTGGTTCAATTGTAATTTTACGAAGCTACGAGAATACTTTTTGTACGCAAAGAAAACAAAAACAATGACTTTATTCAACAATTTGTCTCCTCCGCGTCACACTGGCGCCATTTTGGAGAGTATCACATATGTAAACAACGTATGCAACGTATGTACGTGGATACGTTGTTAACGTTGTTTACGCTTTGATCTGAACGTAAACAACGTATCCACGTACATACGTTGCATACGTTGTTTACGTATGTGATACTCTCCAAAATGGTGCCTGGGTGATGCGGAGGACACTAATTATTGAATAATGTCATTATTTTTGTTCTATGTTTCTGAGCCTTGATCGTGTTAGGATCCTTGCTGTCTATGGGAGGGTCAGAGAGCTCTTGGAATTCATAAAACATATCTTAATTTGTGTTCTGAAGATGAACAAAGGCCTTACGACATGAGGGTGAGTAATTAATGACAGAATTTTCATTTTTGGGTGAACTATCCCTTTAATTTTCATTATGCTTTTAAAAGTTTCTTCCTACATCTTATAGGTTGAACCATTGTCTTGATGCAAGCGTCATACTTGACGTCATATGCTGAAATGTAACATTACAATTCAAGGTGCCTGTTGGAGATGAAATTCAGTCAGGGGAAAATTATGCACATGATGTTCATTTTTGGCTTGATTCTGTGCATTGTGTGTTCAGTTACTGATGCCGTTAAGCAAGTCATTTCCATCTACATTGTCTTTAGTCCTTCTAACTGTTAGTTCTGCCTGCCAGAGCAACACTAACACTAAACCCACCCAATCAATGCCCATCGAGGAGCCGAACACGTCACACACACACACACACACACACACACAAGCTGTGGTCACAGAGTGAGAGTATTTAAAAAGTGAATGTGTGCACTTCACCTTCAATAATGTGTTTCCTAGAAAGGCCTCGTTCTGTCTCGGCTCTGTGACGAAAAAGAGACACACAAAGAGACAGATGTACGTCAGAAAGCAAAATTTCAGACAGAGCTAAGTTCAGTCTAGCATATAAGACATGTCCTCCTTCTGCCAGAGTTTCTTGCTCATCTTTTTTCTTTTTCAAACTGGCCCTTTTGCATTTTCATTTTTTAACTTCAAATAAAACCCTGGCATATTTAAATTCTGCTTAGTATTCATGAGAGAGGATTTGTGGGGAAATGGGACAGGCCTTTTCTTTAGTCTTATCAAGCTTCGCAGCTGCACTTTTGCTCACTTACTTCCAGAATACTTACTCATACAGAAAACGCGTGCTCAGCGCTTGACCTAAACAGAGATTTGTAATTGCATTTATGAAATGTGTGAATCCACGGATGTCTCCGTTAAATGTGCTGCCCTTTAGAATGTGCAACAGTGTGAGGGTTATGAAATTAAAGTTGTCATGTGTAGCAAATTAGCTCAAAAGGGAAATGTATATAAATAATTACATTACAATTATTTATATCAGCTGCCAGTAGTAACTGTAGCAGAATTAAATTGCCATCAACCAATCTGTTCGTCCAGCGAACATTCAGTGTAAGTTCATACCAACTCTAAGAAAGGATATTTTTGTGGCCACAGAAAATATCTTTTCTACAGTATTAAAGGGATGGTTGATTGCGATTTCACTTTTTTAACGTTAGTTAGTGTGTATTGTTGCTGTTTGAGCATAAACAATATCTGTAAATTGCAGCGCTGGAAGTTCAATGCAAACGGAGATATCGTCTTTTAAAATTCTGGCAGTTTGATGGCTACAAAAACAGCGCGTAGGGACCACAACGAGCTACTTCCTGGGTTTGAGACATCACAAACCCTGATAAACCCCGCCCCCGGGAACATGCAATAAAGGGGCCATGTTGCGCTGCTTTAGAGAAGAGGAAGAGAAAACTAGGGGTGCACGTAAAAATCTATTCATATATAAATCGTTATTCTGTCTTCTAACTATTCTAATGGATTCACAAGTTTCAAAATCAATGTTCTAAAGCAGCGGTTCTTAATACTGTTCCTCGCGTCGTCCTGCTCTGCACACACTCTGCATCTCTCTCTCTCTCTCAATCTCTCATTCAGATCACCAGCTCAGCTCAAACAATGAACTATTCTATTTATACACTTATTTTCACATAGCTATGAGAAGCGTTATACATGGACGTATCCCATACTGTATTAAAGCTTTAATCAGGATAAAACCGTATATTAAAAGCTTACATAAGCAGTAGCATTTACAAATAACAGCGTATCTAAAAGTATGAGACAACAACAAACAAAAAACATACCATTAAGAGCCATGCTTGCACAGGTTCTGCGCGATCCTCTTCACTAATATCCTCTGCATCTCAATCGGGCTCAAATTGTTAAGCAATATAGACGACGCCATTGTTTACAATACAACCGGAACACATGCCGCTGAGGTGAGGGGCGGGAGGTTTAGATGCGTACTAGAGGCGGTTTAGCCAATCACAACACACTGGACTAGCTAACCAATCAGTGCCCATCCCATATTTCTGAGGGAGGGGCTTCATATAAGCAGGAAATGATCAGCGCATTTAGAGGAGAAGGGACAGAGCCGTGTAGAATAAAGGTAAATTATGTGAAAAAAAATGCTTTTTAAAAAAAAAAAAACTAAGCATTAACAGATGTTAGACTGCACCCCATAACCACAATCAAGCCTAAAAAAAAAACAGTCAACCACCCCTTTAATGCATTAGAGCATGCAGCTAGATCAGAATCGTAAAGGGACATTATTCACAAGCAGTTAAAGGATCAGAAACTCATGTAATAAGTTTATTAGCTAAGCACTGACACACATAACTAATCTAAACAAACAGACATACAATCACTCATACATGGGGGAAGGGCAAGTGAGACTGGATGGACATTAGAGAAACAAGAAAATGCAGCTTTGGAAAAGGAGTCAGTAAACCTTTGAGTGAAACCATCAGCGCCGTTTTACAACAGGGTCTATTGCTTATACTAATCCTCGGTTTTGTTTAGTTAAATGTACGATACTTGCATTGCCTTGGTCGTTGACGAGTGTCCGGATGAAAGTCTTGATGGTTTCACGCGATCACGTTCTTCCGGGTTTGAAGAGTGATGAAATCCAAAGATGTTCTAACTCGATGGTGATTGGGAGTTTCTTCCCAGTGGAAAGTGAAGTAGAGCTAAGAGAGACATCAGCTGAGATCCTAGGATCGTTGGTGAATGTAAAGAAAAGGCCGAAGCCTGGCACAAACTTAAGGGTTCAAGAAAAGTTCTAGCTCACATCCTCATCTTCTCAGAATCTAACAGAAACACAGACTGAGCTGTGCCGAGGTCTGCCAGGTGCGGTTGCACCGGCTCTGGGACTTAGCAACCAGAAGACGGGAAGGTGATGAGAGACGAGTGAAGAGACTAAAAAAGGCAGCGGGTCACTGAAGTGAGGCCTTTTAAGTTCTGTGGAGGTCACACCTCTCGGGGGTCAAAGAGCCAATGGTGACTTGCACTTTTGGAGGGAAAGTTTATGACTCTTTGTCTTAGAACATGGTATTTTGCGTATGTAATTCGATTGGGTGTTGATTTAAAAACTACAAAAAATTCTTAGAACAATAATATGTTGCATGAGAATCAACATATAATACAAACATTTAGATCATCAGAAGAAGAATTCAAAAAGACCAAACATCATATAGGTGAGGTTATATGAACTAGTAATCTATCATAACACATGCATAAAACACAATTTGTATTTGTAAAATACAAAAGACAATATACAAGAAAAGTAATGGTATACACAATGACCTGAGGATATGTGTGTACATTCACAGAAAGGTTTTTCTATGAATTAATTAGAGAAGAGTCCGTTTTTATAGGCATTTTGTCTCTTTCCTAAGGGGAAATGGAGTGAGAGTTGCTCTGCCCGCATTCCTTTGAACAATAAAACTAGTGTTATCAGATGATTTGTCTTTGGTTGCCATGGAACCAGAGGCCTGTTCTGCCTTTTTGAGGTGTTAGTTGCATTTCAGGGGAAGGGTCCACAGACCCTCATAGTTGCCTTGTTGGTGGAGTGAGGGCGTGTTAGGGATTTTTTGTTAAATATAAGAAATAATTGTGTGTCTTATTGGTCCAAACGCTACACATGACATGACGTGACATCCACAATGAGCAAAATGACAGTTTACTCACTTTCCACCCCAGTAGAGCTTTGTGGTAATAACCAGACTGGATCGCCTTGAAAAAAGATAGGAGGAGAGAGGGAAAAGTGCATTAGAATTTGCACATACACTGTAAAAAATGACCGTGGATTTAACGGTAAAAGACTGTAAAAATGCTACAGTAAAAACCTGTTAAATGGTTAACGATTACGGATTTTTTTTTACAGTGTACATATTCCATATTAACTTTAAATCAAGGAAAAAGCTGATTAACATGTGCAGTTATAATCAAACAGCAGGTTTTTATTTTTTTTTTTTTGTAGTCAAGCTACAGTTTTTGGAATTCTGAAAATAAATTGGTTTTCACAAAAATATTAGGCAGCACAACTGTTTTCAACATTGATCATAATGAGACTGAGAACTGGAGTAATGGCTGCTGAAAATTCAGCTTTGCAATTACTGGGTTTCTGCAGGATTTTTGAGCTCAAATTTAAGATTTTTAAAGACCTTTTTTAAGACCTGCACAAATAAAATTAATACCATATGAGCGGGGTAGGGCAATGTCTAGTAACATATTAAACTGTAATACGACTGCAAAAAGCATGATGTACAGTTCGGATACAAGTTTTCACAAAAACAAAAAGCTTTACAAAATGATACATTTCACATTTCAACCTTTAAACCATTTTTAAGAACATGGATGAGTCAAAAGTATTAATTATTATATTAATTTAAACAATTATTATCAATAAATTATTATATTAATTAAATAACATAAATACATTTTACTGTTTAGATTTTTATAATGCATTATCTTCTTAACGATCCACCAGTTCACATTTACAGCTATGTGTGTTTGCAGAGTGTTTGCAAGATATGGGTCGATTTTCATATTGGTCTGAACAAAAACAACAGGCTTATTGAAAATGCACAATCAATCTCTGCCAGCAGGTGACACTTTAGGAACGGCAGAAATATAACTGTTTCCCCGGTAACGGCAGTACACAAAGCAGCGCAGCACCGGACTGTGCAGCTCTCATGTTTATTTAATGAAATCTTTTGAAGTTTAATCATCACATTAAGCTATATCGCAATTCTGGTCTTTCCATCCCCAAATTTAAGACCTCTTGAAATCATAATTAACACTTTCTTCTACAATTTAAGACTTTTTATGGCCTTAAATTTGATACAACTACATTTAAGACTTTTTAAGACTTTTTAAGGACCCGCGGGAATCCTGAATTACCTGTACAAGAATAAATTGCATTTTAAAATATATTGAAATAGAAAAGAGTTCTAACAATATTTCAGCAAAGTTTTTACTGTATTTTTGATCAAATAAATGCATTAAAAAACTAAACAAGAATCCTACATTAAATCTTCAATGCTATATTAACAGTGTTGGGAAGGTTACTTTGGCAATGTAATAGGTTACAGATTACAAGTTACCCTACTTAAAATGTAATAAGTAGTGTAACTTTTCAGTTACTTTATTAAAGTAATGTAACTGATTACATTTGATTACTTTTTGATTACTTTTCTAAATTTCTAATGTTTTCAACTGTTAATCATTTTCAAACATGTAAACCAGGCAGGGTAAACCTTACAGTAGTACTCAACACTGATTACTGTCACACTTTCGAAATCCTTCATCACTTGAATAAAGATTAAGATTATTTTAAAGGAGACATTGGATGCAAAATATCTTAATTTGCGTATAAATGGTATGTGTGGAAAAAATCATATGTAACCCCCTTTGTAATCCTTAACATTTTCATAAGTAACTGTAATTTAATTACACATTTTTTCTTAGTAACTGTAACTGATTACAATTACTTTTATTTTGTAATTAAATTACGTAATTCCGTTACATGTAACTAGTTACTCCCCAACACTGTATATTAATTTAATTTGTCTGTAGAATAAAAACAGTGCTAATGTACCATATGCTGCAATGCAGTTTTGGTGTTACCCCTAATTAAATTTAATAGGAAGCAGTAATGCCACTGACATGAAAATGAGTGATAATGATTTCATTTTATAAATGCAATTTTATAACAAATCAGTTTGCAGTTTTTATTACTTTATTTGTGCCAAAAAAAAATGTCTATGAGGAGTTGAGTACATTGTAGTTTGATTTTTAATGTAACTGACAAAAAATAAATAAATAAAAATATTACCAACCCCAAACGGTAGTGAATATGACATTTTTATGCAAATATGCAAAGGTCAAATTTTAAAAAGACAAAGCCAGACAGATATCGAATGGCTTCTGTCTATGTTGGGCAGTTAATCACTTGTTCATTGGTCTCATGACTTCATCAAACAGGAAGCAGACTGTTGAGGCAGAACTGCAGAGATAGTGATGCTATTGCTCTGTGATGATACATATGTAGCCTTCGCCTGTAGCTGTTTTGGCAGTAATCTGCAGGTCTCTCAGAGTCACTCTCATCTGCATTGTAAATGGTTGTAAATGAGCTTTCACTGGCGTGAACTCTTGCTGTGTCCTTCATTCTCGACTCACAAAAACTGAGAGCTGCCCTCTAAATTTTGGCCTTACAAAATAATTAAGATTTTAAACAAGAAAGCTTGGGCTGTGAAATTTAACAGATATATTAGGCCAGATGTCATATTATAAGTGAATTCAATGGCTTTGTGTTTCACACCCATTTGTCACTGTGTAGCAAACGAGCAGCTGGTGTAAAAACACATGAACTTACCATCATCTCCACAGATGGAATGAGTTGGTGAAAAAGATGATGAAAAGAAAGAGACTGAAAAAAAAAAGCTGGCTGGGAGAAACTGGGTTATGGGGGAAATGGGGAATGGGACAGGAATTAGAATATTGGAGAGAGAGATAGAAAGAATGAACTGGGAAGATATAAAAGATTGAGTAGGAAAGTAAACTGATGAAAGAAGAAGAGAGGGCAAAATAGTCCCTCAGCGTACCGTCTCTGCTCTGTTCATTAAAACTGTGAATCTCAGGGGTCACTTCACCTTTAATGTATATCCATCAAACATTTACAGAAGAGATCCATACAGACGAGCTCTTGAATTTTGATTGGGGGTCATGGGATATTCATGTATGTTCCCTGCAGTGGGATGAGCCAATCTGTCAGCATAACAGCATGATCTGTAAATTAGTTTGGGGACAGAGTGGATCTGAACCCTACAACTCAATCTGATGAGATATGTATCAAAGAGAAAGAGAGAGGGAGAAAAAAAAAGAGAGAAAGAGTCCATGGCGATCTTTGGAATAGTATTCTACCATAATTCTTGTGCAATTTTTTTACATAGAAATAGTACATCTCTATTCAGATAAAAGATACCTGCTACATTTACACTATTACTGAAAAGTTTGGGGTCGGTTAAATGTTTTTGAAAGAAATTTCTTATGCTCACCAAGGCTGCATAAAAAAACAAAAAAACAAAAACAAACAATAAAACAGTAATATTGTAAAATATCATTGCAATTTAAAATAACTGTTTTCTATTTTAATATATTTTAGGTTACACTTTATTTTAAGGTGTCCTTGTTACAGTGTAATTATACATTTAAGTACTGAGTCATATTACAGTTTTTCTCGATTGCTAAAACACTATAAGCAGGCTCTTGAACTAAAATTTCAAAACCATAACGCCATTTTTAAAAAAGCACAAGCAACATAACTTATTACTGGTTGTTGTAGTATTGTTTTTAATTGATCTCTTCAGTGTGTAAAACTGTGTGTTTTAGTGTGTGTGTGTGTGTGTGTGTGTGTTTTTTTTTGATGGTTTGTGTGTCATGTCTGAGAGCAAAGTTTGGTTTTTCAGCAATATTGAGTTGTTTTGAGTGGAGAGCTTCATTTTGACCTGAATATAGGAAGTTCGGGGAATTAAGTTAGAAGTTATGGATTTGTGTTTAGAGTTTCAGAAAAAAGAGGCATAATTTCAAGAAATGTGTTTAAGCACATTTTTAAACACATTAAACTGTAATTGACTACAGATACTTACTACATGGTTAGGGTTAGGATTAGGGTTTGGCTTAGGGTTACTTGCACGTAATTATGCATAATTTATTGTTACAATAGTAAGTACATGTAACTTGTGTAACAATGACACCTTAAAATAAAGTGTTACCATATTTTATTAAAAGGGAATTTCATATTTATCATATTTAAATTTATTCCTGTGATGGCCAAGCTGAATTTTCAGCAGCCATTATTTCAGACTTCAGAATCATGTGGTCCTTCAAAATCATGCTAAAATTTGGGTGCTCAAGAAATGCTGCATTTTCTATTATTTATCAATGTTGAAAACAGTTGTGCTGCTTAATATTTGATACATTAATACATTATATATTTTATTCGGTACTTTTTTGAACAATAGCCAGTTCAAAAGAACATCATTTATTTGAAGGATTTAAAAAACAAACATTAAAACTGTTTTACTTTAACATGTGATTAATTCAATCAGAGCATGTGAGCGGAGCGGAGCGTGAGCGGAGCGGGGAGTTCAATGCATCCTTGCTGAATAAAATATTAAATCTTAAACTGACCCAAAACTTTTGAACCGCAGTGTATACTAACTGTAAATTTCAGTATGTTTCCATTACTAAAAAAATCTTGCAAACTTATTGCCACAGAAGAATCTAGTTAATGTTGCTCAATATATTTAAGCTTAACCAGTAGCCAGTTTATGAAAACTTCAATATACTAAGTATCCTTAACAAGATTTTTCCGAGGCAATACGTTTGCAAGATTTTTTAAGTGTTAACAAATTTAAAGTATGTTTCCCATTATTCAATGCACTTGCAGAGGAGGTGAAGAAACTGGAAATAATATAATTATTATATATTTTATAATACTTATTTTCTTTTTCCTAACTAACTACTTGATAGAATTGTCAAGAGTTAATACACTTTTTATTTCCCAGATGATAACTTATTGCTGCCTTCATGTACTTGGGAATTATTGTCAACATAAGTTGCATGTTGTACATTGATGCCCCCTCAAATCATAGTTACGACTGGAAACAAACTGCATATAGTTTCCAATACAATTAAAAAATAGCAGGTTAACAAGTACTCTGTTTTCAACTTTTCATTTCTAACTCTTTCCCTCACTACATAGCTAATGTGAAAAACTGCTGTGAATCTCGCAGTGAATAATAAATCTCACTTCATGTGACAAATCAGCTGAGTAATTTTTCATAGTTTTCATAGTCAGCAAAAGCGCTGTCATTCCAGAAGTCATGGTGATCACAGTGGGCCTCATCTGTTGCTATGGCAACAGCCATCACCAGGATGCACTCGTCTGGTGGCATTGATTAAGTGATACAAACTGAGCAAGATCCTAGTGATCAAAGTCTTCATCAAAAGTGTGTGTGAGTAATGACACGTAACCCATGCCAGAGCCAGCAGGTACACAACAAATGCAAAGGGATTAAAAGCTCCAGTTCCACTCATTTTTTTTTTTTTGTACCTCCTTTATCTTGTATTACAGTTGCACAGGTGTGCTTGACACACATAGAAATCAACCGTACCTCCAACCCTTCTTTTTGATGATGTTTCCCAGTATGACTTCAGCTCTATAACAGACAGAGATGTTAATAATGACTCATGGAGTAACGTGAATTATGGGTAATCTTGCTGATGCTGAGTCATACTCACTTTCCAGAAGCATACACCTCTGCGGTGTCAAAAAGGTTTACCCCGCTCTCATACGCTATAGTCATCAGCTGCTCCGCCACCTGGAAGACATGCACACACATATAAAAATAGAGATAGAAGGGTCAACCTATATGAGCCATCACAGTAAATATATAGTGATTTTATTGCCATTTATTATTTTACTCCAAATTTCTCAGATTTTATAAACAATCAAGAAAGCAAGGGTGGTGCAATATAATGTGTGTGTGTGTGTGTGTGTGTGTGTGTGTACAGCTCTGGGAAAAATTAAGAGACCACACCAAATTTTTCTTACAGTTTTTTTCAACTGCTTGCACACAAAATCTTTACTTGTCACACAATTTCTGACACCTGACACTCAAACACCAGAACCATACACCAAATCTGCAAAACCATACACTAATTCTCACAGCCTTTTACTCAGTTTTCAATTTCATAAAACACTTTTTGCAAAACACAACACACAATTCTCGATGTAACACACAAAAATCTAGCAGGAAGTATCTTGATTAACTTTTTCAAACACAGCCAATCAAACTGGCACACTAATTCATCAGTGCCTCACAGTGCCACACCAACCAATCAAGGCTTTAGAATAGGCCGATAAATACACATCTACACATGGTTGATGTATTTCTTGTCTTTCTTACTGTGAAATACTGTATTCACAACCCAGCCTGGTCTCATGTTTATACATAGGTATTGATACGTAACATTTACAAGCACAAAACATAAATTTTTGTAAGTTTTATTGATGCTAAAACATACAATTTGACTTATTTCAACGTTTAAAACGTACAAGTTGCTTCGTATTTTTAGCTAAAAAAATGAAAAATATTTACGTATCTTTTATATTCGTATTAATGCATTTTTATCATTATATCAATAAGCGATTTAGATTTTTAGACCCCTTAACCTACCCCCAAACCTAAACCTACCCATTTTATAGCGAATATGCATTTTTAAAAAATCATTTTATCAATAAGCGATTTGATTTTTAGACCCCTTAACCTACCTCCAAACCTTAAATTACCCATTTTATAGCTTATTAGCTAATATAAAGTGATATAAAACGCAATTGACCAAAATATGCAGGAAAATAACCATTATAGCATTACAAATATTTTTATAGTCGCTAATCCCACTCCTACCTCTAAACCTAAACATAACTGTTTCTGTACAGTTAAGAAAAACATGACAGACAGATAAAAGCAATTACAATAATTAATTTATTGCAAAAATGTCAAAAGCAGTACCAAAAGTAATCCAAATGACGATGTGTTGCAGCTGCGGTCCTCTCTGGTGGAATACAGTAGGTTTGTGGGGTGCAGAGCAGAATTTACGTTGTTAATCGCAGAAAATATTATCCAGATTATTTTCCCTATCCACTCTGCGAAGGCGCGCGAACATCATTCAAAACACAACACCTCACCAGAAACACGGCATGTCACTATCTGTGACGACGCAGGCGAGAGCCAATGGGCATTCGATTTTCCTGCCGTAAAACCTGTTGTTTGAAGCGGCAACATTTGAATTTGTAAAGAGCGCGTCAGTCAGTGCGGGCTTTGGTGCTTACGGTCACTGGACTCACTGCTCGGGATGGAGATGAAGATCACTGAATAAAGGCTTGGATTTGGGTAGGGATGGGCGATACCAATTATTTTCTTTCCGATCCGATACCAGGTATTTTCAAGACAAGTATCGTCGATATCAATATCAATACCGATACCGATACTCCAATGAAATACTTTTATGAGTGATTTTATATTGTTTTTTTGATAGCCATCATTACTAATATTAAATAAACTGCAATAGACATGATTCTTTTTTACATTTATTAAAAAAATACTGAACATTATTAATTAAATAAACATAGGCTAAATAACACTGTATATAACAAAAACGTAACACGTCTTTTTCAACAATTGTCACATAATGTTTCTACATTTCTTCCCTTTATAGGTTTTTGAGATGAAACAAGTGAATGTTGACATTCTCCTCTTAAGCCTGTTTTTCTTTGACTGATCAAAATCTCTTGCTTTTGAAAAAAGAAAAAAAAAAAACTAACAAATAATATATAAAATAAATAAATAAAACCCTGATAACAGTCAATGGACTGCACTGAAAATCAAACCAGGGATGTCTGTGAGGCTAGAAACACTTCAAATTATTTAAATGTCAAATCAGCTGAACTTCAGGTTGAATCTTACATTTAAGTTGCAATCTTCATTTGTGCATACTGATATACACAGCAAGCCTGTGTAAACCATGAAAACTGGTTTAATGGTTTTTGTGAAGGAACAAGAGAATGCTGACATCTTTCCCCTTTAGCCTGTTTCTTCTTTGACTGATCAACTCCCCTGCCTTTGAGAAAATTCTCTCAGACGGAACAGATGATGCAGTGATCCCAAGATATTTTTTTTTTGCTAATTTGCTGAGAGCTGGGAAGGTTTGCTCATGATTTCTCCACCAAACTAATGGCTCTTGGTTTCGGGGAACTACTTTCTCCTCAGCATAGCGACACATTTCAATTATAGAATCACTGCTTCTTGATTGTTGTTGCTGTGCTGAACCTGGAAGTCAAAATCCTCCCATATGCCTCCTTTAGATGTAGCTGATGCAGTACGTGGGGCCACTGGAGGAGTCACTGATGAGGCACAGCTTGCTGTAGGTACTGACACAGACCTTAGGACAGATGTTGAGGTAGCTTCTAGTGGTGCAGCAGCTAACTCAGATGTGGCCAAGTGGATATCCTGCATTTCAGATAGGAGTCGCTTTTTCACTGCTTCTACATGATCTTTGTCACGAAATGCCAGGTGCTTAAACCTAATGACAAGAAAGGCGCTGGCAGCGAGGCTGTGTATGGTTTCAACCCCACTGAATCTGCACTGACATTGCTGTGCCAGTTCTGCGGCAAAAGAGCAACCTTGACGCTCACTGGCAGCAGTTGCTCTAAGAAGCAGTGATACTTGGGGAATGACCTTTGAGATAGAAATGTGTTTTTCTGCTGATATTTCACGTGTTGCCTCCTCAAAAGGTTTCAAGGCCTCAATGGTCAGGGGGATAACAGACCACTCTTCATTTGTAAAGCACAGGTCACTCTTCCCAAGTAGAAGGAGGGCTGTTGTAACTGAATTCATTTGTTCATGTAACCTCTCCAACATGTAGAAAGTTGAATTCCACCTGGTTTCAGTTGCTTTTGGATCTGTTTAAGCTTCTCTGTGGCTTTTGTGCTGTGGTGGAAAACGGATACAATGCTTCTGCATTTTTCCAGCAGGTGAAAGATCTCAGGAGATGCTTTTATTGCATCTTTGACCACCAAGTTTAATGTATGGGCAAAACATGGGTAATGCTTCCACCCAGCCTAATGCACTGCAGAAACCATATTCGCACCATTGTCTGTGACAACTGCAAGCACCTTTTGGGTTATGCCCCATTCTTCAGCTATTCTTTTCAGCTCTGCACTAATATTGTCAGCTGTATGCTGTACACTGAAATGGCAGGTTTCTAACACAAATTCCTGCATTTGCCAGTTGTTAATGAAATGACAGGACACAGTTAGATATGCCTCTGTGGACCTTGAGGATATATATATACAGTAGTCAAAATTTTAAGTGGATCAAAAAGTTCATTAAAGTTGTCCTAAGACAAGAACGCATTTTGGTTTTAGGTTTTAGGACAACTTTGATGAAAGGTTTTGATCCACTTCAAATGTTGACTACTGTATATATACTGTATGTTCTTAAAGCTGTGTTACAGGCATTAATAATTTATAATGATAGTGAATTTCTCCCAGGTATTACTTGACACTTAATCTATGTAATTTATTTAATAAACAAGTTTTAAATTATATAAATAATATATCAGTGATTTCATTAAGAATATCCACCAGATACCAGGTAACAGAAATATATATAGGCTAAAAATTGTATAAAATGTTTTAATAAATATCCTACTGTTTAAACTAAAATGTCCAGTTTAAATCTTTATACTCATATGCAGTGTAATATTCTGTTCCCCATGAAATACTGTAATATCTTCATATTTGAAACAATCTGTATTGTATAAAGTATATAAATAAATGTGACTCGACTTTTTGTATTCAAATAACCTAATCACCACTTGGTAGGCTACCTGGATAATGTCCGCCTCTCTGAAAAGGATTCTGCTAAAGAACTCTGCCTCAAGCCAGAAGATGGGGGTCGTGTCTCTGTTACCTCCTCTGCTCTCCTCAGCTGTACTTCATTGTGCTCTTTAGGGTGTTTTAATTTTAGATGCTTTATCATATTTGTGGTATTGCCACAGTGGCGTATTGTTTTTTGACAAATATCACATGAAGCTTCATCATTGTTAACTGGAGTGAAATAACTCCAGATTATGCTTCTTTTTCTTTCAGTCATGACCACAGCCATGCACTCAAGTCCCTTTTTAAACCTGCGCTGTGTGTGCTTTGACAGAGTGAGCGAACGCTGTCTTGACAAGCGGAGATACAGCGGAAGAAGATATAGTTCTCATTGCCGTTCCTATTTAAGTAAATATTTCAATAATATACGCCATACTACGAATTAAAATATTCTAAATTGTTCTAAAATGTTCTCGTTTAAAAAAAACATAGGATCGATACTTCTATTTGAGAATCGATCCTTTTGATACAATGCCAGTATCGAAAATATCGATACTTTAGGATCGATCCGCCCATCCCTAGATTTGGGTCTGTTCCTCGCAGTCGTATGGATTCTGAAGATTTGGATTACAGCGCACAAATAAAATTGTTTCATTTCATAATTATGTTGCGTTTTTGGTGTATTTTATAGTTCTGTTGTCAGACACAGCACGTCGAAGAAAACGCCTTTTGTGGCCCATGGCAAACAAAGTAGACATTACATGACAAGTAAAGGTTAAACGATTGCAGAAATGTTGTTTATTTTAAGGATTTAATGTGAAGTCTTGTTTAACATTATGTAGGCCTATTCTTAAAAACGAGCTGGCAGCAGAAATCACAGAACAGAACGAAAGTAAATGAGTAAACAGTTTAATAATGCAACTGAAAACATAA